TTTCATTTCTTCTGTTTTACTGTACTACAATACCAGCTCTCCACCACTAGTGGTCTCCCTAACCACTAACTCTGAACTTGCCTTGATACCAGGGATGGACTGACAGTGGTTTGGGCCCCCGGGCAAAATTAGGACCCAGGCCCCCTGCAGATCAATATATGTGCTGGTGTAGATGTACCGTTTATTTGATTGTATGTGCATGGAACGTGAATGTATGCTTTTGTGTGTATATGCACTGTGATCCCTGGTGTAATTATATATCTATGTCTTTGTGTGTCGTGTCAGGATATGTGGAATTAGAGTTTACTTAAAGGGGAAACTATAGTGCTAGAAAAACAAAGTAGTTTTCCTGGCACTATAGTTACCCACAGATAAAAAAACCCCTTCTGTCACTTACCTGAATCCAGATGTCCCTCGGTGCTGGTTCAGGCGCTGCACTCGCATTAGGAATTCCCACGTAGTAATGCATTGTATAAAGCTTTCCTATGGGGTTTTGTATGAAGCTAGATGTCCTCATGCATAGCGTAAGGATGTCCAGCGTCAGGTGACCAAAAGTCTCTAGTGGCTATCTGGTAGTCAGCCACTAGAGTTAACCCTGAAAGGTAATTATTGTAGTTTCTCAAAAACTGCAATAATTGCCATTGCAGGTTTAAGGAACCTGGGACACTGCACTCAGACCACTTCAATGAGCTGAAGTGGTCTGGGTGTCTATAGTGTCCATTTAAATATATTTGAATGGATAAAAAGACCCCACAATCAAAAATGGGGGGTGGGGGGAAGGGAAAGAGACTAGTCATTTCTACAACTAAATCATAGTATTCACGTGGGTGTAGGGACGGTTTGATGTCATAGCATAGGATGCAGGGTTATAAAGGCCATAGTGGGTGCAGAGGTTAATAGGGGCTGTAGCGTGTGCAGGGGACATGGGGGGGGGGGAAAACGCTGCAGTGGATGCCAGGGGCATAGAAGCTGTAGTGTTTTATAGGGGCTTTAGTGGGGACAGGGAGTGATAGAGACTATAGTGGGGGTAGGGTAATAGTGGCTATTGTGGATGTAGGGGAGGGATAGGGGCTGTGGTAAGTGCAGAGAGCAATAGATGCAGTAGTGGGTGTAGGGGACATGGTCTGTAGTTTGTGCATGGGGTTCATTGGGCTTTAGCTGATGCAGGGAATGTAGTGGCTGTAGGGGATATAAGAGCTGTAGGGTGTGCGGGGATTTTAGGGGCTGTAGGGATGCTGAAGGGGTTAGAAGGACTGTAGGGGATAGAGGGGCTGCAGGGTGGTAGACGGTCTGTATGAGGCAAGGGTCTGTAGGGGATGCAGGTATTTTAAGGGCTCTAGGGAGTAGAGAGGCTGTAGAAGGTTTATAGACTGTAGGTGGGCTGCAAAGGTAAGGACTGCAGTGGGTAGGGGGGCTGCAGGGGATTAGAAGGGCTGAAGGGGGTAGATGTGTTTTTAGGGGGTGCAGGGGATAGAAGGGTGCAGGGGTTAAGAGGGTGCAGAGAGTAGAGGAGTTGTAGGGGCTGCAGGGTGTAGAAGGGCTGTAGGGGGTAGCGGGGTTATAGAGGTTGCAGGGCTTAGAATGGGTGCAGGAGGGCTACAGGGAATAGAGGTGTTCTAGGTGCTGCAGGGGTTAGAATGGGTCCAGGAGGTAGGTGGGCTACATGGGATAGAGGGATTATAGGGGCTGCAGGGGTTAGACTGGGTCCAGGGGGTAAGTGGGCTACAGGGGATAGAAGGGGTAGGGGGCTGATTATATAGAGTTTTAATTAAAATTAACCTGTCTATCTTTCCCTCCCCTTACCTGTGGCATGCTGTATTACATACTGTACTGCTTGCTGTCTGTAACAGTGATCAGGAAGCTCCGCACAGCTCATTGAACGTGTGACACATGATGTGATTTCCTGCTTAATGAGCAGCACGGAGCTGCCTGGTCTGTTACAGAAAGCTCTCGTGCTGTTTATCTTTCAGGCACACCGAGAGGCAGCCTAGTGGGGTCTTTGGAAAGACCCCATTAGCTGTCTCTCGGTGTGCCCTGCTGGAACCGGCAAATTGTATTTTGGAGATTTGTATTTTGTAACAGGGGCCCGCGGAATGCTTAACTCCCCAGCCCAGCTGTTACTTAACTGCACAGCGGGTGGGCCCCCCAGAGCCTCGGGCCATCGGTTCATGACCGATTTGCCTGA